CTTTTTTTTTTTTTTTTTGCAGTTTTTGGCCAGGGCTGGGTTTGAACCCATCCCCTCCAGCACATGGGGCCATCGCCTTACTCCTTTGAGCCATAGGCACCACCCTTAGTTCCTTTTTTTTAATGGCATGGTGGTCACAAGAGAAGGGGGGGGGCTTTCAGTCTGTCCTGCATTCTTCTCTGTAAGTACTGGAACCGTTTGGAAGTGAGAGGAGGAACTTGGGCAGTTGAGATGTGCTTATCCTAACAGGATTTGTTTCTACTCAGTTTGGGATATGCAGAGAGGTGAGTCTTCTCTGTTTTCCAAGATGAGTTACTATTTTTCAAAGTGCAGTGAAGGAGATAGTGTTTATTCTTCTTCACAGGTGAAAAGTAGTTCTCTTCTCAATGAATAAATGAAGGATTTACATTAGCATTAGTGGTCCTGGGAGAGAAGCAAATTTTCCACTATTTTTATGACCAATGCTCTGGTCATAAAAGCTTAGCAGCTCTGTGGTAGGACTTTGCAATACACAAATTTGTCTTTGAATCTCATCTGCAAATCAGAGCACCACTTTGAACAAGCTATTCATTTAATCTCAAGCTTTCAATTTTTTATCTACAAATGCGGATAATTATGGGTACCTTACAGGGCTGTAGATAATACCCAATAAAAGGTAGTTCTCCATGTTCCTATGCTTACATTTTTGTTTCCATTACTAAGCAGGAAATTTATGCTGTGAGATAGGTTGATAAAGGGCTTTCACAATTTTCCAATGCGTTACATCCATATCTGGAATCACAAGTTCAGCCCTTTCAACACTGGCCTCACACCCCCTCCCCCCCAGAAAACAGCAGGGACTTGGAATGCCAAGAACTGACTGCTCAGACTGTGATAGCAGGAATTGACTGGGTTCAACGTTTCACCATTTCTACACAGCTCAGTTTCCTGCGTTTATTTTTCTTCCTAAGTCTGCTATCTGTTTACTTGTGCTGAGAAATCAGAAATATCTGAGGGTTGTTGTTCAAATCTTGTTTTTGGAACAAACTTTCCTTTTGAATCTCAAAATAAATGAAATATAATGAAAATCTCTAGTTGATTAAATGAAGTGAAAACCTTCAAAACAAATATGTTGTTTTTATAATATGTTATAATAATAAGTACTAACGACTGCTGGTTATGAAGATGGTAGAATACAAATGATGTTAAGAAAAGAAAAGCAATGAAATCTGCTGTGCTTGTGGCCACCCTTTTTGCCCTTCTTCCAAAGAAATCTCTGCTGTTTCTTTTAAGATTCCATCAAAATGAAAATAAAACAGTCCTCCAAGCACATAAATCAATGTAACTTAACACAATAACACACAAGTGACATTTTCTGAAAATAGTTTACCCAATTAACATTATTCTTGCAAAATAATTGCAGAAGTAGAAGAGAGAGAAGGGGCAAGAGGAGGATAAATTACTAGGCAATTGGCTCTCCCAGTTGCATCCCAAGGATGAATGGAGATCGACTTCAACAGTCAAAGCCATTCTCTTGTGATTCTGTAACACGTACCCAAGCATAACCACACATGCTAGTTTAGCAATGTAATAAATGCCTTGACCTTAGTTCTATTGTCATCAAGTTGCTGCTAACACACTTGGGTACTCCTTATTAGCTACAATTGTGTATAGCATATCTTGTAGATGATGTTCAGGATTGTAATAACTCTTATCTTATTTAAATATCTCTTTAAAGACTAAAAGGTCTCTTACTCCAGATTACAGAATAGTGAGAAGTGATTAAACCCAAATCTGAGAGAGAATACAGAATTTTCTATCTTCTCTTCCTGATTTGCTAGGACTATTTATCCCCATCATTTAGTTCCATGAGCCATCTGTGTATTACCTGCAAGTGAAAAATGGGACCAAGAAGTAAGTACCTTATAATATTATGTTAACATCAGAATTTGACTGAGTAGAAGTGCTTTCAGAATGCATGATTATCTCATAGCACATGCAATTTTATGTAATCTCCAGACATATTTTAGGAAACTATCTTTTTGCAATTTTTGAAAATATCACGAATGAAGCTGTCCACAAACTTGATTATAACAATTTTTAAAAATAGTAGAAGTAAAGAATTATCTGTGTTGTATTATTTCCTGAGCTTTTCACTAGTATCAGAAAAGTATTGTATGCCTATTATTGCCCTTGATAGGAACTAAAAAAAGCATGAAAGCTTACTAGATGGTAAAGTGTAATTGTCATTACAAAATACAAACATATAATGATAATAAATAATGTATAAAAAGTGGTCAATCATTTTGCAGTAGACTGAAACAAGGAACTGTGTTTTCTAGTCCTGTACATGAACTATAGCAAAGGGGTCACAATGGACTCTAATAAGTTAAGTCCTCACCTCACCAGCACCCAGGCCACTCGTAACTCAACTCATTTATTGTGACTGAATGATATTTCCAATTCTTTTTGTCAAAATGTCAAAGTAGAGACTGTCTATTTAAGATTTTATTTTTCATATATCTTGCCAATATTTTTAAATGTAAAATGAGCTTCCTTCCAGAAATTCAATTATTCATATTTCTGACTGGTTGATGAATATCATCCAACTTCAAAACATTAAAAATGTATCTCCATCCATAGTTTGTTAAAGTCTAGATACGTCTTACATTGAGGTAGAAGTAGATATCCTTTATGAAACTAACTTCTAAACTAAATGTTATTTAAATATATATATATTCTAAACAATTGAAATTATATAAATGTTAGTTATTAGAATAAGACTCAAGAAGACTGTAATTTTTTTGGTAGCTATTTTACAATTCTCTCTTAATTCCAATGGAATTCTTTAAGAGGGCTTGAAATTAAAATAAGTAGTTTCTTATCAGTAAACAACTCTCTACTTAAACATGAATTTGTCTACAGTTAAACTGAGAAAGCCTCACTAATAAGCAAACATCTCACATTCAGATTTTTTTTTTAATTTGAAAAATAATTCTACTTTATTCCTAGTGAAGATTTATAAGAATCTTACATTTCAAATACTTAATTTCAGAGACATACTCTCTACAACCTTCACCTATAGGTAAGTGATACATGAGGAAAAATAAGTATATGATCTTTGGCCTCATTTACAGTGTTGATAAAATGGATCGTCACTCACACCTTCTACTTATCTTACCTTCTATCCTTCATTCCTATATCATTCTATACTATTTGTCAAGAAAGATTTGGGTACAGGAAGGAAGTGGTAACACTCTGGAAGTAATAAATCCCATGACTCTACACTCAGGTTTCATGAACAGTCATTTCAGCTAATTCTCTCTGAGCTCTGGTATTTGTATATGTCACTCAATGAATCACTTACCCAGTAGAACTCAATAACACTGCACCAAATTCCTGGTTCTTTGTTCAGTGTGACTCACTCTAATTCAATATTTTTAGGGATACTGATACAATCAGGGAGCTATAATTTGAATGTGTCTAGAAACTGTAGAAATTACCTAGCTTGTCATTTCTTCATTCATACCCAACTTCACAAAGTGTGCCTTTTAAAGAGGAGATTATTTTAAAACCTCACTGTAAAACTCATACCAATATTTAACAACCTTTACTATCAAGGCACTTTTATTTTTACTTCATTTTATAATTAACATTTTATTTTGCTACAATTTGAACTCACTTTATAGTAACATGAAAAACTCATCGTCAAATAATTCTGAATAGCAGTAGGCAAATGTTATAGCAAATAAATGACTATGAATGTTATGTATTTTTAAAATAGGAATTTGACTTTTTCTGAGAGGTTTTTTTAAATTAAATCACAGTTGTGTACATTAATGCTGTCATGGGGTACAATGTGCTGGTTTTATATAGAATCTGAAATATTTTCATCAAACTGGTTAACATAGCCTTCACAGCACCCTTCTGAGAAATATTTTACCCCAAATTTGCCATGTGCCATCTCTTGCAAAATATAGTCAATCCCATATAAATGATAAACTTAAGGCAAATTAATTTATTCCAATGGGGATCATGTGTCTCTTCCATGTCTTGTCCCTGATATTTGGAGGCATGACCACCAGCTCCGTATACACGCCAATGAAAATTTCTGCCTTAACTCTCAAGGGCTATCCAAGCAGAGAGACATAGCTACTTTATGTGTAGACATGTATATGCATGGACACTTCTGAAATGTAACTTGCTATTTAATGTTGAACATAAGTGTGTCTGATGTTTTAGAAATTCTCTCCCAGCAAACTAATGACATTTATTGCAAAGATCAGGCTCAAAAAAAGAATAGGTGACAAGATGATCAGTATTTCTGTACAAATGTCTACTAAGGCTCTCCTCCTACCATTCCCACAATTCATCTATCAGACTAATAAGACAAAATTAATAGTGTGAGCCAGAAATTTCCCTTTTCTGTTGGGATTGTTCCTGAAAGAACACTGTAGGTACTTATGTTTCCAAGGCCTGTCTTTTGTGCATTTAGGATTTGGGAAAAATAACAGTCAAGTATGCAAGGAAGAGGTCAATACAGCAAGTAATTAATCATAAGAATCCTATTTTCAGGGGAGGAAGAGGTTAACGACGCTTGTAACTTAGCAGAGTTTTCTAGATTCCAACAGTTCACGTCTTTAAAATTAAGATTTGCCACAAATAAGGAAAATATGGGAAAATTTGAGGCCAATAACCAAGAGTTGGCGTTCTGGAGACTGAGCTAAGAATATTGTTTCTTTATGTTGATGCTATTCAGGCAATTTGCTATGGGTGGCATGATGTTTGATGATGCAAAAATTAGGAAATGGAGAATCTTTTTTCTGTTTCTCTGGATGGTGTAACAGACATCGTAATAGACATCGGCAAGGTCTATTATAATGCCAGTATTTTCTTCGTCATGTTCTTAAGATTGTAGAAGACCTTTTGTCATTACTAAGTGATTTGCATTTACTTAAGCTAATAATTAAATGGTTCTTTAGAAGAATATTAGCACTTATGCTATGTCTGCTTTAGTAAACATGTATATGCCAAGGCATCCTCTTAGCATTTGTTTCACAGATAAAATAATATAGGTACAAAATTCAAAACTTTTTTTTCATCTGGAGTTAAATGTAAACAAAAGTGCTCCAGTAGCTTAACATTTCGGGAAATCGACAAGGAAGACATTAATGTGTAATTGACACTGACAAAATTACTTTTCCCAAATTAATCCTTGATGCTGTGATGAGTAAAAGACACATTCTAGTCATTCAGTGAAAATTAAGCAATTTAATGACTTCTTGTGCTTAATTAAAAATCACTCGCTAATTTGTTTGTGTATTTATGTATTTATTTTGTAGAAATATTTATGTATAAGCACATGAAAGGCCTTCCCTGGACTTCCTCTTTGTCTCAAAAATGGCCACTCAATCTTGTGTATCTAGACAGCAAAATCCTTTCTGCCATTAAGAAAAAAAAAAAAAAATTTCAAGGCTTTAATTCAGACCTACCAAATAGGAATCTTCAGACTCTTTTAAAAGGTCCACACAGATAATGGTGCATGGTCCTAATGTAGAAATATTGATCCAAACCCACCTTTGCCATAATTATGTCTATTTTTTAATTTAACAATCCTCATTTCTCTCTCTTCTATACCAGATGCATCTTCCTAGCTGCTCATGGGGTGTCTGACTTGTCTACATGCCACTGGCACCTGAGTGAGTAACAGGCATCTTGAACTTAACGTGGCCCAAGCAGGAATTTCTCCCCAACACATCTTTTTCTCCTCTGGATTTTCCTAGCTGGATAAAGACATTAGTATTTATAAAAGTTGCTTAAGAAACCTCCCTTCCTCCTTCTCCCCACAAAGTTTCAACAAAAATAAATAAACAACAACCTTCACACTGCCTTTTTTCATACCCTTCCATATAATATTTAATCTACCAACAAGCACCGACAGCTCACCTCCAAAATACATCGCAGATTTCTCCACTGTGTATCATCTCTGTGGTCTAAGCTGTTGTGTTGTCTTCCATGAAGTGTATCAATGGCTCGAAAATGGTTCCCCTGCTCCTAGCCTGACTTGACTGTCCAGCCTGTGCAATCTTTCAACGTGCCTATCAGAATGTCACTCCCATTCCAAGGACTCCCTTTGCAGCCAGAATAAATATGAAATCCCACAACTCTGTGTGCTTTGGTCCCTGTCCTCTCATCTTAGCATTCCACCTTTTACTGTCGCTCAGCTTGGGTGCTATTGGCTGGCTTTTGTTCCTCTAATATGGCAAACTTGTTCTCCAGTGGGGCCATTGTCACCAGTGTTTTCTTCTGCTTGAAATACTCTGCACTGTGGTTCCATATGGCTGGTCCCCCCTGGTCAAGTCCCAACTCAAAGGGCACCTTCTTGTCAGCCTTCTCTATCCTCCAATCCAAAGTAGTCACCCATCTAAGTCATTCTGTCACACCCACCTCTGTTATTTCATCATCACCATCTCCTCTTCCTCAATTCCTGAATATAAGTTCCAGGAGAGGAGAAACTTTGTCAGAATTACTTCTGAATCTCCAAACCTAGGATAGTGCCTGTCTCTTTGAAGGGTACTCAATAAACATTTGATGAATGAAGAAAGTGTTATACCACTAAATAGGAGCTGTGCAGAAGGGAGGCCTGAGTGCTACACTCAGCAATTCTGGGTTTTAGAGGTGCCATCTGTAAGACGTGAACAACAGCATTTTAACTCCCTAGGTGGAAGACTGAAATAGATTATTTTTTGTGGTTACTCTTCATTCTAAGATCTTCATTGGCCACAGTACTAGATTTGCATTTGGGGATAATGCTGATGTTATGTTCAGAATTTTACAGAGTATTTGAAAATTAAGAATTTAAAATTTAACAGACAGAAACTTAAACTATCTTGCCTTCTGCCTCTAAGTCTATGTATAAAAGCACTAGCTTTTGCTCTTGGTGTATATGTTTTAACTTGAAGTTTTATTCTATTCTTTAGCAATATGAGTTTATTTCATGTAATAACCTGAATCTCCTGTTGTAAGACACTCAAATATTAATAGAGAAGTATTTTATTTTTTAGTTAAAACCCAAAGTAAGTAGCATCTAACATTAAAAGTTCAACTAGTTTAATAGCAGCTGATTTTTTTGAGTATTTTTCTAAGAGTTTCACATATATTATCTCAGAGCCTCAAATTAAAAAAAACCCACAAAGTACTTGCACACCTGTTGTGAGGGGACTGTAGGAGAAATTCTCTCAAATCAAAGAATGCTTTGAGAATCTGATTAAAGTTATGGACTCTCTATCTAGAAAATGCATTATACATACACTTCTCATATTCTGTAGTTTCCAACTGTATAGGTACTGGGGACACAGAAGTACATACATTCCCTTGTGGAGTTTATTTAACAGAAAGAGTTTTAGAACAAGACATTTCAGAAGGTGGCCTCTTCACAGAATTTGAACAAAAAACAAGTCTGTGTTCTTTCAAATCACAATAATAGATTAAGAAAAGATATACTTAAGTTTTAAAAGGTTTTTTTTTTTTGAGACAGAGTCTCATTTGCTGCCCTAGGTACAGTGCCGTGGTGTCACAGCTCATAGCACCCTCAAACTCTTGGGCTCAAGCAATTCTCTTGCCTCAGCCTCTGGAGTAGCTGGGACTACTGGTGCCTGCCACAATACCTGGCTATTTTTAGAGATGGGATCTTGCTCTTGCTCAGACTGGTCTTCAACTCGTGAGCTTAGGCAATCCACCTGCCTCAGCCTCCCAGGGTGCTAAGATTACAGGTGTGAGCCACTGCGCCTGACCTCGGTTTTGAAAGTTTTATACCCACGAAGTTAATATGTAGAGATTTTACATGCCGGGAATGCTGTGTGCTATGGACCTCTTGTTTCAAAGTTTAATTTTTTGGTGAAAGGATGGAGAGTCTTTTGTATCTCTTTGCAAAAAACAGAATTTGATTTGCCATGGCCAAATAGTTCCATTTCATTTTATAGCATTTCAAATTGAAAATGAATTTCATCTGTGAGATATAGGAAGCTTGCAAAACAACCACTTTTTTTGAGGTTTAAATAGGTTCACTTTTATAATTTCATCATTCAGAAAATAAGATTGTTAAGCAGCTCTTACCTCATCAGAACCTGATCCAAAAATCAGCAAGTCAAAAGGAATTGCCGCAACCATGTCAATCAGGAACCAGCCTTTGAAGTAGTGTATTGCTATTTTGGCCGGATCACTTACCACTTCTTCATTCTGATTTACATAGGTTGTTCTGAAGTTTATGAGAATGTCTATGATAAACATAATGTCCACAATCAAGTCCACCACATTCAAGGGGCTACAAGAATAGCCACATTCTCGTCTTTTCTGTTCTTCTCGGTCATTGAGGAGAAAGGCTGCAGAGTAGGGTGTGAAGATAGCCGTGTATATGACCAACAGCAGGATGAGCCAGTCCCAGACCGCCTTGAAAGGGCTGTAGTGCAGTATTGTAAATTTGTTGATGCGTGGTGTCTGCAGTTTGTATTCTGGCAGGACGTCTGCTCCTAAAGAGAGAACCTGAATATAGAAAAGAAAACCATACGTTACATTAAAATGCCATTATTAATCGGCAAACATATACAAACATGGGGTGGTAATTACAGCACAATCTACAGGAGAGGATTCATGTGATTTTGAGGTATGTATTAAAAACATAATACATTTAAAAAATACACATACGTGTAAACAAACCCATGTACACCGCCACAACGCAGAATGTTTGGTTCAAGAAAATCACAACGGTATTTCTTGATAACTATAATTGTCACTGAAAAATAATAAATATTGTCACTGAGATACTGAGGAATAGTGACGGTTTCCTTTGGAACAGTACTTCTCAGAAATAAAAATACATGGCTGTTTTTAGAAAATTATAAAATCAGTTTTTAGATATGAGTCATGCAGTTTTCAAATCTAGAAAAGGACTAGGTGTAATGAATAGAAGCAATCTACTTAACATTGGGGTGGGGGGAGGCAAATGAGATGAAAATAAACACGAAAAGGCTTTTCCCTAAAGGATTGAGAGAGTATTTTATATTCTGGGACATACAGATGCTCATCTAAACTTTATCATCATATTTAGAGAACTGGGAAAGAAAATGCTGTAGGGAGTTGGTTAGAATATTGACCTGGATGCAAATGTCCCAAGAGTCTTAGCCCCTGAGTAGTGTTTAAACTCCAAGATTGATTCTACTTCATAAGGTATTTGGTAAACTAATACAGTTCGCCTTTTAAAGTCTTAATTTATCTGAAAAATTGAGAGCTAAACTTGACCTGTATCTCTACCAAGCAAAAAAGTCCATGATTCTGTGATTTCAGACCTAATTTCAAAAACAAAAATCAAAACAAAAGGTCACCTAGCTATTCAGTAAATATAATCAGTCTTAATATATTGGTTTTAAAGAATTTAAAATGTGTAACAGTCTCACCAATGGCATATGGAGAGGTATTTTTCAAAGGTAATGTGGGTTACAATTTTATACTCTGAATATCCCATACATACACAACAAGTCTATTTAAAGTGAATTTCACTAAGTGTATTTCTTAGACAAGTTTCTTCTAAGCACAGCTAACCAGTCGCCAGCTTTGCAGCATACATCCCAGGTAATCCCCCAGCGGTTAGGCAGAGAGTATTGTTTCTGTTTTTGGTAATTCTATTCATGTTGGTTTTAACCTGAATATAACAATGAATTATGTCAAGCAAATGCAACTTTAAATGTTATATTTATTTCTCACATATCATGCATTTTTATCCCCCTATAATAAGTTACCATCTCTATTTTAAAAAGGGGTTGAGAATTTAAATAACTCCAAATGAGATACAACATAACTTTTAAATACGACAAAAGAATTCAGCTAAAATAGGCAAAGCTGCTTTTAGATAACTGCTAAACTGATTTAACTAGCTTTGAAAAAAATGATAAAGAATATGACCTGACTATTTATTTAGCCCATAGTAAATTTGAACCAACTAGTTTATGGAAGAAATGAGATTTAACATCATGAGAAATGATAGCTGCTAATTATTAGTAAGGGAGAAATCTGGAAAATAGTTCTTTTATTATTTGTGAAATATTAAAAATCCAAGATATATGCATATGTTAAGTATATGATTGTCAAAATCCATCATTCAACAAGTGCAGATTAATAGAACTCTAACTCTATTATACTAAGTACAGAAAACTAGCATATGAGATTTTGGTCTGGAAGAAAGGGATCATCTCTTAACAAGTCATTATGTAATGTTGCTTTCTCAAAAACCAGGGACTACTCAGTATATAGAAAGTAAAATTCAAAACTATTTTGGCTTCTAGAGTCATCTAAAATACGAACCCACTCTATCCGTCCAGTCTCTGCTTTCACCAGATACCTCCATGTACACAGTATACACCAGCAAAACAAAACTACAATTTTTGAGCTACTGAGACATTTCCAAATCCTTAAATCCACAAATTTCTCTCATAGAAAAGGGTATGTAGTCATCATAAAGGACAAAGGGGTACAGACAGGGATATTTGTGCTTGCTTACTACTTAAGTGATACACTTCTGATAACCAATCTCCAATGAGGGGCAACTGGAATACCTCTCTTGGCAGAAGTATAAATTACTGTAGAACTTCCCTGAGATGTGAAAACTGTGGCTGGGCTTCTTTTTATCCCATATATTCCTGTCTATATTTAACATTTAGATGACCACTGTATTAAGAGCTGGAGACTGAAATATGGGGAAGACACTGTCTCTGACATGCAGTTCGTGGTCTGTTGGGAGACAGATGTGCAGGAAAATGGGAGCCCTCCTGAGGACCCCTTTGCTTAGTGCCTGAGGTTGGTGGCGGCACTGATGGGAAGGTGGTCTTCATAGAGGAATTCCAGGAAAAGATGGCAATTGGACTGAGACTTTGTGTAGGAGTTAGAAGGGGACACAGCTGGGGAATTAAGGAAGCTGGAAAAGGAAGGATATTACAGGCAGAGGAGACAGAATGAACAAGGCTAAGAAAGCATAAAATAAATGTTGTGAGTTAAGGAATTGTAAGCAGCCTTATATTTTGCAGAGGAGTAAAATGCCAGGAAATCATGGAGGTAGTGGTAGAAGATGGCAGTAGAGAGGGCCAGTATCAGGCTGCTGAAGGCTGAATGTGATATGAGAGGAATCACAGGCCTTGTACTTTAGGCCAAGACTTCTCATACATGACTAATGTATGGATGCTTTTTAAAGAAAAAGTCAATTATTGGAGAACCCTGATGAAAATGTTATGTTATTCATATTTAGAATTTTAGGCAAATATTGTTTAGGCAAATAAAACGAGGTTAAAACTTCTTATGCTTATACCTCAGCTCAGTATGACCTCTATGGATTAAATTGTGTACCCTAAAAATACAGGGTTGAATTCCTAATCTGCAGGTGCTATGAATGTGACCTCTTTTGGAAATAGGGTTTTTGGAGAGGTGATCAAGTTAAGATGTGCTTATAGTTATTTAGGGTGGGCCTCAATCCAATAACCTGTGTCCCTATAAGAAAGAGAGAAATTTGGATGCAGAGGCACAAAGACAACAGTATATGACAATGTAGGCAGATGCAGCTCTGAGTCAAGGAATGCCAAAGATTGCCCGCAGTCTAGAAGACAGCGCCTAGAAGACAGATATGGGACAGGTGTTTCTACAGCTTATCAGAGAAACCAACTTTGCCATTGCCTTGATACTGGACTTGTAGCCTCTAGAATTGTGAGAGAACGAATTTCTGTTGTTTTAAGCCACCCAGTTTGTGGTACTTTATTTTGGCAGCTCTAGAAAACTCATACAATGACCAAAAAAAATGAAGAATAAATATTTACAAAACCAGTAAGTTCAAACTATTGTTACTAGTTCCATACTTGACATTTCTGTGGGTCAAAAATGATTGAACTTTGGCTATTACGTATGGTTTAATATAGTAAGTAAAATATTTTTGTCCATTTTAACATCAATGCCTTCTTTGAAAAAGTATGTTGTCGAAAATAGTCTCACAAACCTCAAAGATTTAATTGCTGTGTCAGGATCGTGTAGCCTAGTCCTTAATGCAAATTCTACTCCTACTTGGCTTCAAAAGCCAATTTAAATCATGATACTTGATAACTCTATAAAAACTGTGTAACTTTCGCTTTTGGGCATTATTTGGTTCTATATTAAGTAATAAACTAATCAACTTATGTCTCGAACTGGGTTTAGAAAGATAGTTCACTTGTTATTGTCCCACATATCTGTTGAAACAGAACCAGTGCAAATTGATATGTACAACAACGGAGTGTTTTTTGACAATGCATTTGTAGCATTTCGATGGTCGCCAAAATTATAGTAGAAGTTCTTTTGACTGTTGCGTGACTATGCATGTATTCCATAACCACTCAATTGTCTCACGACTTTCACCAGCCAAACAACTTCAAACACTTTGCATGTACAGCATACTTTAGCATCATGAGGTGTTACTGTAAATTCAAATGCAGTCATGAGTACTGAAGTCAGGTAGGTGGCAGCACTTTGTTATTAGGTGATCACAATAATGTTCCAGAACAGTCTTGTTTTAGGTTTTCACTAAGACCCAGGAATTTAAAAGATTTTCTAAGAGAGCTTATGGCCCTTTGAGAATATTTCTTTCCATAGATATCAGTTTGAGAATTACTAACTGGTACTAGGCAGGGAAATCAAGGCAGCCAAGCCTGGCTTTAGATGGATGTATCTGGCAATGGAGTGGGGGAGAAATTGAAAATCAGAACCAGAGACTTAGAGATGAGTTAGCACTTTACAGTCTGGGAGAGAGATAATGAAAGCCTGTACTAGGGTCCAGGTAGTAGAGAGGGAAAGGAGGGGAACAAGTTGGGGAAATAAATACGTCTCAAGGTATAAGGAAAAGAAATAGGGAAATACTTGATTATTTGTGGTTCCAATAATAATAAGTCATATTAGAGCCAATTAAGTACTATAACTCTCTGAAGACTTGACTGTCTTTGAAATAAGGGACTGAGCACCAGACTTTAAATTTGAAGACCTAGGGTTGAAGGCCAGGTGTGATATTTCTGAAAAGTTATTTCACATCTTTCAATCCCAGTTTTTTTCATCTACATGAAAAGATACGTAATCTTTCCCTAATTCACATAGACAGAACCATCACATCACATCAGATAATTTCTATAAAAGTAGCTGATAAAATGGGATATGTTTACATGCACATAAATGTTTTCATTATTTTTTAGAGTTCTAGGGTTACTTGTGTAAACCCTGCTTCTAACAAACCAACTATAACCAAAATATTTATAAACTGATTGGAGAAAGTTAAACATTGATGGGACATTGTTAATATTAAGGAATTGTTTCAGTTATCTATTCCTTGTAACAAACTAAGCAAAACGTAGTGATTTAAAAGAGTTGTCATTTTACTTTTCATCAGTCTGTGGATCAGAAATTTAGGCAGGTCTTGGTTAGACAATTCTTCCTCTCCACACAATGTTACTGGAGTCATTCAATGATATTGAGTTGATGGCTGA